ATGGCAAGGAGCTCAACAAAAAGGAAATAATCACTTTTAGAAGGCATCACTGAGACAGTGTGTGAAAACTGACCGTGATGAAACGCCCTGCTCCTTTCTCCACACCTGCAACAATGTTCCTCTGTTCAGAGGACTTTGACCAGAGAGCAATGTATTGCAGCAGCACTCCAGCTGCTGCTGAGATAGCATTTTTACATGCAGGATGCCCACGATAGCCATTGAGGTCTTTCACAGTTCTTTTTCTTAAAAGTGGTTATAGTCTTAAATTTGGGGAAAGCCTGCTTTGGGGTGTACTATCCAAGTACTTCCTCTTGCATTTTCCCAGATGAAAGTACTACCATCGGTATGACCTGTTCCTGCTCTGTATGCAAGAACCAGGCTTAGTTGGTGGATTTAAATAATGCAGGCACCTTAGTGGTTATTGTTAGGCTTATGCTGTTAGTTCATCCAGCCTTACTCATCTGCAGTGTTTCTTCAGTTCTCAAGTACCTTCATTTCTCCTAATGGACCTATTTGAGAAACTCAGCATTATCCAGCCTCAGTAGGACTCTTACAACGTTGCACCAAATCATGACCAATGAGCATCCAGCTAAAATCACCTCACCCTCCTTTGGGTGTTGGTTTGAATAAACAAATGATGATTGCTTCCTAGAAGCTTTTGACAAAGAATATCATCATTAGTGAGGTAACTGCTTAAAAGCAGGTAAGGCAGGACTCCATTCTACCACACCCTGTGTTCTCATGTACCTGGAACTCTTTTAAATCTCCTGCAACCTTTGAAGAGAAGACAAAGGCCCCACTTCAGTAGCTCTGAACCTTCCAGGGAAGGTCCACTAACAAAAATTACTGATGTAAAGCTTATATACTTCAGAGAGAATGTAGGATTTGTTCAGAACCTAGATTAAAAACTCATCTGTTTTTGTTTATTCATCAGGATTCCCAGCTCTTTGGCATGAGCAATGCAAAAACCATTTTCTCCTCATTATACACAGCGCTGTCTTATTCTAACACTTACAAGAAGCATCCTTTATTACTAAGAACCATTTAATAGCTTAAAAAAAAAAAAAAAAAAAAAAAAAAAAAGTGTTTTGTTACATCATGGAAAATAACCACTATAAAACTGACTGTCCTCAAGATTTTTTTTTCCGGTCCTCACTCATCCATGGATGTGATATGATGTAACCTCAAGTTAAATATCAACCAAACATTTTGCTGTACTACAGGAACACGTTTGATATAATCAGCAGAATAAAGAAGCAGAAAACCCAACTGGACCCCAGACACTTGCTGATCACTTTTCAAGATATTCTCCCTAAATAACTTTCATAAAATTGTAAACCTACGCTGACAGCATCTGAGCACTGGCTCAATATGGCTAAGCGTTTTATGTGGTCCAAGGTCCAGATCCATCTGACTGTCCATCCAGCTAAGTGGAAACCATTGAGCAGTCTTTGGATTGAGCTAATATTTACAGCATTATTAAGTCAAATTCATCTTGGATAGCACTCTAGCTGAGGGAGGGCTTGACTACACATGCCCCTTTTGCATATGGCTTCAACAAAATTCAAAACACTGCAGGATTATATTCCAACTACTTTTCAGCCCTAAGACATCTTAAATACTTTGTTTACTACAAATTAAAAAGAAATGTATTATAAATATATGTATTATTAAAATTGATGATATAAATAACCTGATACTGCTCATCCCTTATGCATAACATGCCTGTAAATGAATTTGCATTTGTTTTGCAGCTCCTTTTACACTTTGTATTCTAGTATTCCTTGATAAGCATTATCTTTTATAGAAAGGAAAAGTAAGCATAAACTGAAAAACTCTCCTCACAATGCCCTTTTCTGTCTTGTTCAATGACCTTTGACCATATAGCTCCTATGTGATCAGACTCAGCAATCATTTAAGAGCTAAATCCTGCAAAGGATGGTCACAGAAATAAGGATTTTACATTAGAGGCTGAAAAGCAGTAACCTGGCTATCCATGAACCTAAGATTCACAAAATCAGGTTGATAATGTAATATTTGGAAAATGCAGGTATGACGTGATGGCACTAAGGTTTACATACAATACTTTCATCCATCTGGACAAACACAGTATCATGTTCCAGATCTCATAGATTTAAGATGTCAATAAAACTACAGAGAAGAATCATTTCAGTACCTCTGGTTTATTTTCAAAGTATTTAACACAACACCCACCCTCCAACTTCTTCTTTTAGGAAATGTGAAACCATGATTTGACTTAAGGGAAGTTTGAAGCAGTGCTCAGTACAGAAATATGAATTAACTTTTATTCCTTGGCTTTTATATCCAGTAAGAGAGGCAGAGGAAATGTTTTAACAGTTGAGTGCCTATACATCAAGAGACTGGATAGATTCATTTCCTGTATACACAAAAATTCACTCTTTGAAAGAGTGAAATATCAAGACTTCTGGATACAGAAATGAAGAAGTGATAGGAGGAGCTAGGGAAGGTAAAAACACTGAAAACACTAGAAAACATTGCTCTACATAGCCTTACTCAAAGGATTCAAAACAATGCCATATCTCACTTGAAGGTTGGAAAGCACAGTGCAGAAGAGAACAATAATACTAAAATGAAGATAGTGAATCTATTCCACAGGATGAAAATGGAATTTACACAATGTTTTGTTTACTTAAAGAAAAATCTATGTATTTCCTTGAAAAATAGATTAGTCTACCAATATATCTGATAACACTGAGAGGGTGGATTTAATATGTGAATAATTTTTTATCTTTGTAATTTAAGAATAAAGCCATTGATTTGCATACTGCTGTACTAATGCAAAGGGGTGAGAATCACAGCACAAGACAGCAAAGCATAAATTCACAAATGTGTAAGTTACTTTAGTAAGACACTTTACTATCTGAATGTTGCTATCCGGATATAACAACACTTACCAAAAATTAACATGAAAATTAGGATAGTTTCTGCTCATATCTTCACTTTCATTTTAAAATAAAAGATCAAATATATTTGAACCATACTTTTTTTTTATAATGAGTTTCTCATATAACAAAGCCTCCTTTCATAGTTCAGTACTGTGGAGACAGTAACATAAACTTTCATTTAATGAGATGTTCATAGTTCACATAGGAAGAGCTTCAGCACAGTCCTTGTTAATTTACAAAACAGTACAAACAATTTTGATTAGAGTATACATAGAAACAGTTCTCCAAGTAGACAGAAATTAAAACAGATCTTTAGAAAGAACACTTACTGTGGAAAGGGGGAAGGAGTAAGGACAATTCTGATTCTATGTGTGTGGTTGCTTTGGGTTTTCTTTTCTGATAGGAATATGTAAACTTTTTCTGCCATCTGAACTGAACAGTCCTAGAAAACACAAGGGACAATAAATGCCTTTGCTTACATCTCAATTAAAGGATTTCTAGATGGTGTTGTTACATTGACTAAAAAGGTCCAGGTCTTAAATCAGTGCACTTGAGAAGTTCTCATTCATGCCAACAGGATTTTTGCTTGACTGTACCAAACCCTTCCAAAGTTCTCTGATCAGTAACTCTTACAGTATTGATTAAATTAGCGGACAAGTAATATCTCGATTGTTGTAACTGTATTTTGTTTTCCCACACCACTTCTTGTGGTTGGCCTCACACTCAACACCTCTAATATGTAAGAAGTAGCCCTACAGATAGGTCTGGTCACACAGCATGATTCTTGTGTAATGTTTTTTAGTGCTATAACTGTGTTACAGTGCAACACATCATGCCAAGAAATGACACAGTGCTTCTAGCTCTGCTATCAGCATGGCTAGTACATAAATTGTTATCAGAGTCACCTGTGCAGTTAACACACTTTGCTTTTTAAAGAGAAGAAGATACAAAAATAATAATAGTGTGGTGGAATAAGGAGAAATCAGCCTTCCTGCAGTGCAACCTGCTGAAGTGGGAATAACATTCACTCTGTACATACACTCCTAGCCCTGTAAGAAAGTGATCTAAGGTCACAGAGCTCTACAAGCTGCCGTTGTTTATTTTTGTTTCTTTTATATTTTTAAATCCTTTTTGTTTTCAGTCTTTTTTTTTTCTTCTTCTCCTTTTTCTTTACTTTGCTTTTACCTGGAAGTTTCTTTTTCCTTTTCTTTTTCCTTTTTCTTTTATTTTCTTCTGCTTTTTTCTTTTTTTTTTTTTTTCCCT